CCTCAAATTCTATTAATTTCTATTAACACTACAAAAATATTATACAAAATCATTTTTCGAATCAAATCCTAGAAATATTTGTTTGATTTAAGTAAACAATAATGTAGAATTAATCTATATATAAGAAACCGATTCATTAAATCATTTATTTGAGGATCTATATTTATTTTAGTAGTTACCTATGTTTATACACCAGTTTTATGTTTATTTTGTTATAAAACTCATGTATTTTATACACTTTAATCTCCTTTATTTATAAATATACCTATCCGACAGATTAAATTTATAGTAATTACCCAGAAAATATATTTATTAATATTTATAATACTTATTGCCTATTAATTTTCTTTTATTTATTTTATAAATTATTTGGTACAACCATCAAAATACTAACCAATTTAGGGGGTATATTATGGAAATCACCATTTTGTATAATATCATGTAATTGAGTATAGTATTTCTCTAAAATGTTTATTTATATAATTACAAAACACTTTTTTATTTTTAATATTAATAAGCCCTATTAATCTAATTAAACAATTCCATTGTTCAATTTAAATATATAAGATAGGTATAATCCTTATAATCATATCTCAAGTCAATCTAGTTTATTATTATTATATATATTTACTTTCTAATTAAGGTGATCAAATGATATAGCTATCCTCCGTGATATTTTTAAATTTGAAATAAGAAATATTTTTAAAATATAAAAAATGAAATATTTTTCGAATTCAAAATAGGAAATATTTTTTTCTTATTTTGAATAAAAGATATATAACAAAATATTTTTCGAGTTTGGAATAGGAAATATTTTGAAGTGTAAGGAATTAAATATTTTTTGAGTTTAGATTAGAAAATATTTTGAAATATAAAGAATTAAATATTTTTTAAGTCCAAATTAGAAAATATTTCTAAAATATAGGGAATTAAATATTTTTCAAATCTAAATTAAGAAATATTTTTAAAGTATAAAAAATTAAATATTTTTTGAGCTCAAATTAAGAAATATTTTTAAATATAAGGAATTAAATATTTTTTGAGTTCGAATTAAGAAATATTTTTAAAATATAAGAAGTTAAATATATTTTTAGTTTAGATTAGAAAATATTTTGAAATATAAAAAATTAAATATTTTTTGAATCCAAACTAGGAAATATTTTTAAAATATAAGGAATTAAATATTTTTCGAATTTAGATTATAAAATATTTTTGAAGTATAAAAATTAAATATTTTTTGAGTTCAGACTAAGAAATATTTTAAAGTATAAAAAATTAAATATTTTTCAAATCTAAAATAGAAAATATTCTTTAAGTATAAAAAATGAAATTCTTATTTTTATTATTTTTCAAAATGTTAAAGCGATTTTTGATAGGATAAATTAATATTAAAGTTTAAGAAAGCTTTTAATTGATTATATATATAGATTATTAAATGATTTAAGTAATCAAAAGAGTGTTAAGGATTTCTAATTCTAATTCTGAGTTTATTGTAATATTTAAAATTAAATCTTTTATTTCAATTAATAATTTATTATTTGAATTATTAATCTCAATAAAATTTTTAATAATAATATTAGAATTTAATTTTAAGAAATCGAATTTAGATAATTGAAATGATTTAAATAAATTAAATAAATAGGATAATATATTTGAATTATTCGAATTATCAGAATTATTTAATTTATTTAATTTATTTAGATTATTTAAATCATTTGAATTAAATTCCTCAGAATTATTTAAATTATTAAAAACAACTAAAGTATTATCTTCTTAATTTAAATTTAAACTATTAAATTTAATTTTATTAGCTTTTTTAATAAAAGACTTTTTACTATTTTTAATAATAAATTCTAAAATCCTTTTATAATCTAAAATTTCATTAAAATTAATAGTTTTTTTTAAATAATTCTTTTATTTTAGCTTTTTAAATTATTAAAATTAAAATAAAAAAGATTAGAATTAAAAAAAGAAATATATAAAACAAAATTAAAAAATATTTTAAAAAAATTAAAGTATTTAATATAATTATTAAAATTATAAAAAGATTTAAATCCTTTATTTCTGATTTTATCTTTTTCAAAACTATTTAGAATATTTAAATAAAATTTATTTAAAAATACTACTTTTTCTAAACTCAAATATAAAAGGATTTCTAAATTAAAAAAAATTATATTAAAACTAAATTAAATTATATAACTTTTAAAAATAATATAAAAATTAGAATATAATTTTAAATTATTAATATTAAATTTTTAAATATATTCAATATATCTAATATATTCTTAAAATAAAATAAGATTTTCTTTATCAATTTTAATAAAATTAACTTTCTTTTTAATATTCTTTAATTTAAAATCAAAATTATTCTTTTGATTTTTTTTAATTAAATTTAAATTGAAAAAAGAAAATAATAAATTATTATTTAATTTATTATTTATTTCAATAATATTATTTTGAATTAAATTAGAATTTTTATTAGAATAATTCTTTTCTTTAATTTAAACTTAAAAAAAAAAGCAATTTGAAAATAACTTTTATTCAAAAATATTTTGAATTAAATTAAAATATAAATCTATAATAATATCTTTATAATTAGAATTAAAATATTTTTTTAAATTTTATAAATTAGATTTTATTATATTACAAATAGAATATTGAAAATAGGATTTAATAAATAATTCAAAAAAAAGACTTAAAGAAAATTAGAATTTAAATAAATAAATTAAATAAAGATTTTAATTAATTGATTTAATACTTAATAAATTATAAATATTATAAGCTTTTTATATTACCTTTTTTTTATAAATAGAAATTAAATCAAAAAGATATTTATTTTATAAATAAATTTTGAAACTTTAAATATAAATTTGATAAATATTATAAAAAATAAATTGAAATACTAAATAATAAAAAAGAAATAATATTTCATCAATTTCTTAAAAAACCAATTTAATTTTAAAATCCCTAAAATCTCTAAAATCATTAAATAATTTATTAATTTCAGATTCAAAAGAATTAAAGAAAAAAAGAGAAATTTAATAATTAGTTATTTTTATTAATATTAATTTAAAAGAATTAAAAGAATCTTTTGAATTTGGATTTGAATTTAAATTAAATTAAAAGATTTAAAGATTTTGAAAGATTTAAAAAAATTAAAAGATTTAAGAGAATTAAAAGATTTAAAGACTTTAAAAGATTTAAGGGTTTTGAAAATTTAAGAATTATAAAGATTTAAGAACTATAAAAATTTAAGAATTTTGAAGATTTAAAGACTATAAAGATTTAAGGATTTTAAAGATTCAATTTAGAATTGAATTCTAAAAAATTGAAATAAAAAGAAAACTTTAATATAAATAAATCTCACTATTTATTATTAATTATTATAATAATAACTTTAAAAAATTCTTACAAAAAAATTTAAACTTTAAATAAATTTTATATTAAATCTCAAAATAAAATTATATCTAAAAAAAAGTATTTATTAATCAATTTGAAAAATAATTTAATTCAAACTTCAAAAAAATATAATTCAATTGAATTTCTATTTATTCTTCTTTTCAGATTTTCGAAAAAATCCAAATTATGTTTTATAAGATTAATAACTAATTAATAATTTTTTATTAATTACTAATTTTATTTTTATAAAATTATCCAAATATCTTCTAATATTATTCAAATTCAATCTTTAAAATTAATAATATAAATCAATTAATTTAAAAAATAATCTAATTCAGTTTTCATATTAATATAATTCAATTAATTTCTAATTTATTCTCTTTTTTAGATTTTCAAAAAGATTTAAATTATATTTTATAAAATTAATAACTAATTGATAACTTTTTGCTAATTATTATTTTTATTTTTACAAAATTATTTAATTGTTTTCTAATATTATTCAGATTTGATTTTTAGAATTAATATTATAAATCAATCAATTTAGAAGATAATTTAATTTAGTTTTTGAATAAATATAATTCAATTAAATCTTTATCTATTCCTCTTTTCAAATTTTTGAAAAGATTTAAATTATATTTTATAGAGTTAATAACCAATTAAAAACTTTTTAACTAATTATTAGCCCTTTATCAAAAATGATTATTAAGATTAATAATCAGCAAAAAATTCCTTAGAATAATAGTTAGAACAAATATAGAATATTAGGATTATTTTCCTATATAAAAGATGTCCGAGCTTACGTTTTACTAGGTAAAACATATCTTATATAAAAGATAGGTAAAAGTAATATACATACTAATATAATACGTATACTAATAAACTATATTAATTAAATCTCAAATAAATTATTATTAATTAAGCTTTTTTATATTTTTATTTGAAATTATATTAGTTTTAGCTAAAGATATAAAGAAACTAATATATAAAAATATATTTTCGAATATAGAGATTTATATATTTCAAAAGATAAATAAAATATTAAATAAATATTAATATATAAAAAAAACTTAATTATATTAAAGAAAAGTATTTATTAAATAGAAAGCTATAGATATATTATTTTAATAAAAGATCAATATTCAAATTCAATATAATAAATATCAAAATAAAAAGAATTTTAATAAGAAAGTATTTTTTAATTAATATTATAGTAAATATAAAAAAATAGATTATAATATAAGAATCTATCAAATTAATATAATAAATCCTAGATTATTAAATTCTTAATAGTTTTAATCAATTAAATCAATAGTCATTAAATAATATAAATTCAAAAGTATTAATTGAGGTAAAAGTGGTGTATGTATTAATATAGTATATGTACTGATAAACCATGTTAAGGATTTATATTGAATTTCTCTTTGTTCGGAATATTAACTTTGCCACCACAGGGTAACAGGCTTATTATGGATTTTCACAATAGCATTGCATATATAATGTACAGCTTCAACAGATTGCATGAATATATAATTTGGCAATGGAAAGGAGTACTAAGACAAGCATACTTCTATACTAGAAGACAGTAGAATACTAAACGACCATCACTTCGTTCCTATCGCGATCCAACACCATGAAGTCAATCTCGCTTTCCCATTTTCTAACAGCTCTACCCCGGGTTGTTTCCTTATCTCATCCCCAAAAAGCTGCACCGCTCTATCCCAATTTGCCTCATCACTTTCAATCCACCCACTTTCCATCCTACCTAACAAGCTCCACATGTATTCTATGAAAGCCCCCAGATCTTCCACTTCACTCACACTTTTCACCTTCACCATCTGCACATCCACGAATCCCCCTCCTCCATACTGCGGCGCAATAATTTTCCATCCACCCAGCGAATGGCTCCCCCGACAAGGGCTTCTGAACCATGCGGCCTAGTCTCCAGATGCGCTTTCAGCATTGCTTCTCGATGAGGTACATCCGCCCATCCACTAACAGCCCCCACACCACCTGATTTCAACGTTCGATAAACCTCACTGCATGCTTTGATAGCATCTGTGTCTGAGAGGCGCAGAATCACACAGTTTGTGATACTATGCGAGAAAGTGTTGTCAGGGAACGATAGTTCCTGCGCAGGCATCAATGCAGTAGTGACCGGCCATTTCTGTTTCTCCACGTCATCATAGAGGACAGAAAGCAATCCCGATGCGATATCAGTGGCATGAATTCGCGTGGGGTAATCAGAAGGCTTAAGATCTGATAGGATATTGCGCGTGACATTGCCATCACCACAGCCGTTATCGTGGATAATTGACAAGGAGGTAATCGGTGGCATTTTTTGAATGCATGCTTGAGCTATCTGGAGGGGCCCTTTGCCTGCATCGGCTTTCATCCATGCAGGTTGAGTAATCGATGCTTTGGGAGGCGTGAAAGCTGACTTAGAAAATCTTAGAGCAGTCATTGACCTTACGAACGATGATTCGTTTTCGGTTTTTGTATTGGAGACCTACTATAAAGTTGATTTAGATGTTTCTAGGTGGAGAATCCTTTGATCTTATAACATTGGTTTCTGCCTAGTGTATACCATTGGTTAAGGGCTGCCTTATAAATAGCCAATCGGAATGCATTGTTTTAGACAGACCCAAAAAATAAATCGCCAATCTATCTACCAAGGAGTAGTTACATATCCTAACACAAAACACATTCTTGTAATCCCAGTTCATACGCTCCATTCACATTCCCTTGTCTCAACACCCTCCAAGTTTTCCCTTACAAGTCTCATACCTCACTCTGCATCATTGCTCCAAACTCCTATCACGGTGTACAGACTCGATATCCTGTAATGGCACCTCGTCACTCTCAGCTCTGAAGCTTCCTTTGCCATTGCTTGAAAAGCCACTTGGATTTTTGATCTCCTTGAACTTTGAGTTCTTACCGCTTTCAGAGATATCGTTACTTCCAGTTGATCGACTCTTGCTTTCAAACAATGATTTAATACTTGTCCCAAAAGCAGAGGCATATATGTGCTTCAGAATAGGTGATAGGTTTGGTACGCAAATAGCAAAGATTTCGATAGGGGCTTCGATAACTTGGTAAATCATATATAACCATGAACCGGTTTTATCTTGGGGATTATCGCCGAGGTTAATGAGACAAGCCATACGAAGGATCGAGCAGACACTCGCACTGTAATTTATATTAGTTAAAGCTTGGGAGTGGGCAGTGGAAGGTGGGAATAGCTTACAAAACTCCAACTGACAAAACAAGGCTAACAATAACTCGACTCCAAGTTGGCACCTGAAGTCTCCAGATGATAGGAATAGGAAGTAGCAAGTTCAAAAAGTCGAAGACTACATGCATCATACCGACAGCGGTACACATTTGTTTGTCGTTGATGCAAGTTCCTTTCAACCCCGGAGTCCATGCTGCCGCCAAAGGAATACAAGCTGTGACTTCACTAATAGAAGCCGAGATCCATCATCCCGATATGATGGCAATAGCGACGTAAAGGGTATTGCGAAACCATCTTTTCACTCCGAATATCCGAATATAGAAGAACAGAATCGATAGTTGTGTTGCAGCAGTGGCGCTGACCCCCAGAAGACATAATTGGAAACCAAGCCCTAGACCAAACCGGCATTAGCTATTTGAATGTTCACACTTAGATGGTGTGTGTAACTGACCTTGAACCAAATGATCAATCGTGGATGTGTAAAATGTTTCATCGGAGTAGCACTTCCGCTCGCAAGTACTATGACCAAGTTAGCAATATAGCCTCCATAGGTAAGAATCTACCAGCAGTTATTAATAACTTCAAACTTTTGAAATACAGAAAACTCACTAAAGCCAAGGCACATGGCCAATCATTAATGAAAGCCTTTGATCTATTTAATTGTTTTGATTGAAATCTGAGGATAACAATGACTATTAATATGGATAACAAAATGGCAGGAACAATGGCTAAGGTCCTTTACTCATTATTGGTTACCGTAATAAAACATTTCTCGAGTTCAACCATAATTTATGATACCAAGTTCCTTTGACGGTCACGACAGTATTCGTAAGTAGTTGAATATACAGAAAGGTAATGAATGATCTTGAAGAAGGGCAAATGGTACGAAGAGTGTCCAGTGTGCGAGGATATATCTTGTTTATATACTTTATCTCCTTATATTCGATCAAGATTGGAAACTTCATCGTAGGATTGGAATGGTGGTAGGAAATGTGTAGTATTAGGGTAGTATTCATTCAGTTGGTGTGGTAGAAGTATGGTATTTCAATATTCACCAGCTCTACTTTTACAACCGACTTTTCTAGTTCAGAAAGCAAAGAAAGTATATTTAAATGATGGATGTGTTGGCAAAGTTTTTTAAGATACCCCCTTTTCGATCAGTCATTGAAATCCTCTTCCGCTACCCCCGAGTTCCTTGTACATTGTGTATATTATTCTTTCCCCCAGTACACACTTCTCATCCACTGTGTAATGAACAGGGTTATCGCATACTGAAGTCGAATATACTCACGCCTCTTGATACTCTTTAATAAAACATATCTGATTAAGATTTGATAATCAGATACTCTTTTAGCCTTAGGTACCTAGAATTTATAGGATAGTTAATTATCAATTGATTTCGAGCACACCTTATATCCTTATCTCTCTGTGCCTCCTGCTACTTAAACTAACTTGTTATGAGAACAAGCCTTTCTTTGTACTTCCGTATGATGATTGCAGTACGGCAGCCAAGAATACGGGGAAGCTGCCCGGATGAAGTACATAATACAGATGGCGCGGGGAAATCGCCAAGTAAAGATCTTAGCCCCACTTGATGCTACACTATCACGGCTAAATCATGAATATGAACCTCCATAATCTAATTGTCGGCTGTCCAGGGATCAACAGCCTCGTTCCGAGTCGGGGAAAGCTAGTGTCCCTTCTCCCAGCCAAATGAAAAACTTCTACCTAGAATAATGAGATTTGTTTTATTTTTATTAGCTTAATCTTAAGAATTCAATCATAAAAAATATTAATCAACTGACCCAAAAGCTAATAAAGTATAGACTAAGGGACACTCGCTTTTCTCAACTCGGAATAAGGTTGCTGACCTATAGAAAGCAGACTATTATATCTACACATTTTCTGTTCAAGTTTTGATATTATGAAAGGAACCATTAGGTTTTCAATAGATACCTCCTGATTTCTAAAGTTTCATCCTAAACACCAGGGATTAATACAAGGCAAGCCTCTGAAGGTTTATATGAAATTCTATAATAGATATAGTAAATTAATTACTAATATCTTATTAATAAGCTATATTATAATTATATAACATATGAATAATGTAATTTTATTGTGAAATTATATCATTATATTATAATATAGTTATGTTTCTTATTAAAATAGAATAGAATTACATAGAATTGTATAGAAATTATTAATAATTTAATTTAATTTGTTTTAATACACTTTCCTTTTATAATATAAATTGATTTTATAAGATTCAATTTTAATCGATCTTATTTATAAGTATAGAATCTACTAGAAATTTTTTATATGCTATATAAACCTAGGATATTCTTTAAAGAAAATCTAGAAAAAGTAAGCAAGTTAGATTCAATTCATTTCATTTCTATAATTTGACTTTAATTCTATTATTATATATTTGATTTATTCCTAAGCTAAATTTATCTAAGTCTTCTACTAATATTATTATAATAATAAGATTATTATAATATAAGAATCAACCTCTAAGAGATTGCTTAATAAGAGCTTTTGTTATAATTCAGTATAGCTTTATCGAATCCCTATAGTAACAAAGTTAATATTCTAAACAAAAAGAAATTCAATATAAATCCTTATATGAATTTCTATTTCGAATATTATAATATTGATATGTATATTTGTTACTAATGAATAAAGCTTTTTATTATTAATAAATTAAATTGAATCTTTTTATAACTTATTTATTATTGAATTTTAATTAAAAAAATAGAAAGTAAGGTCTCTATAAAGCCTTATTACTTTTGAAGATTAAAATTGAAAATAAGATAAACAAAAATATATAAGTATAAAAGCCAGAAAAAGAAAAAAAGCAAGTATAAAAACTAAAAAATAAATAGAAAATATTAATCGAATATTACGTGATTGAATATAATAGAAGTTATAAGCTTTACTGTTATACTATATATATAATCTATTTAAAAAGTATAGTATTAGGAATTAGTTTCTAATAGCTTACTATTATATATATATACTTGTATAACAAAGCTCCCCTCTTTTAATCTTTTTATCCCAAAAAGATTAATCAAGAGATTATTATATTTATAATATATAGTTAATCAAATGATTTGTAATAACAAAAGATTCAATTATTATCTAATACTCTTATTATTAATAATCTATTATTAATAAATTCAGAATATCTAATTATTGAGCAAATATATCCTCGCCTTTAATTGATTCATTTTTCAATTGATTATTAATCTAATTCCAATTATAATAGCTTTAATTAGAGATCCCAGAATAATATCCATAAGGTAAAATCCTTAATACTTTATTATATAATTGAATATAATAGAAATTGTGAGCTTTATTATTATATTATATATATAATCTGTTTAAAAGATATAGTATTAGAGATCGATTCCTAATAGCTTATTACTATATATATATACTTATATAATATCGAAAGTTTAAAGAGAAATAAACTTTTTCAGAAAGTATACTACTTTTAATTTATTTTTTAATTACGAGTTTTATTATTATATTATAAACGGTAAAAACCCCGAATGTCATTATTCCATATATTGATATCTCAACTAGTATGTAACAAAACGAAATATTATCATTTCGTTATACTATTACTAAATTTATAGACTAGCAAATTTCGAATCTAGTATACAACCTTTTAGGAATTAATGAAATGAAAAAAAAGAGATATAATTATTAATTAGAATTCAAGGAATACAATTATATAATTTTTTCGGAATTATTTTTAAAATAAGAATTAAAATCTAATATAATAATATCTTAGTAATAGGGGGGTTAGCGCTAAAACTTGATTACTGTAATAAAACTAGTTAGAAAATTATTAAATTGAAATTTAATTCCAGTTTTTGAGATAATTCAAAATAAATTATTTTGCTAAATTCTTTAAACTCTAATTAATAATTATATATTTTTTTCTTTTATTTCATTAATCCCTAAAAGGTTTTGTATTAGATTGAAAGATTGATAAGTATTACAAAATACTAGTTGAGGTTACTTTAGTTATAAATCTGATATTTGAGATATCAATATATAGAATAATGATATTCGGGGTTTTTATTGTATTATAAATATAATATGTATTAAATGAAAAAGAATCAAACTCATTTCTAACATATATATAAATAAACTCGAATTCAATAAAAATTTAAGTTGGAAATTTAATAAAAAGAAAAGATTTCTAAAAGAAAATCAATATAGAAGAAAAAGAAAAGGAAAAAAGATCAAAAAACAAATAAAACTTAGAAACTTTTTACTTAACGAATAATTATTACCTTAAGCCGAAACTTTCAATCAACTTTTTAAAATTCAAGGAATTCACTAAGATCTTATTAATAAGAATAAACTCTATAAAATATAAAGATTTAAATTAATTATATTAGTACTTTAAAAACAATTTATTCAATATACAATAAAGATATTATAGAATTTATAGTAATTACAAAAGGATTACTTCATTAACCACGGATTCTACTACTACAGGGAATATATACCCTTTAGAGCCTTTCACGCTCTTGTCCAAGCCTATTTGGGAAACATGGACATAATTTCCTTCGGACAACATTGCCTTGAGACTGCTTACATACCATCAACAATGCAGTCATAATAATTATCAATCTATTCCTTCTGTTATCCTGCAAAAAAAACACGAACACCTTCTACAACGGGGGACCAACGTTAATCTTCAAATCATCTTAGTCAAACAAGGGATTCGGATTCACACTTGCGTGGATATGAGTTTTGGCAAGGGGGTATCGATGCTCACATTTAAAAGCATTTCGAAGGCTCTACCATCTAAAACATCACTCGCATTTGTTACTTCGAAGACTTCCCAAGGAAGACAAACAGTCTACTACAAGCCCAGCATCCATACTCATTCCCGAACTTATTTCAAGATGGCCACTCAATCCATTCAACTCTACTCCCACGTCAAGGGACCCAATCCGTGGAAAGTCGCCACGATTCTCGAAGAGCTTGGTCTCCCCTATGAAACGGAATTTGTGAATCCAGCCGAGCTTCACACTCCTGTCTATGAAAAGGTTAGATGATCCTATCTCTCTTGGCCTTGGTCAGCTCAGAGCACTTGCTAACCTTGCACTTACTAGATCAATCCCAATGGAAGGTAAGACTTATTCTAGACGTACTCTTGGACAATTTTAGAGTGCTACGTTTTTACTTGATCTTTGTAACTGCGTTTCGATGTCCATTTCTTGCTTATCGATGGGCCTACGGAGTCCATTGGAATAAGCCTCGGAGCACCCTCTTATTTGAGTTGTGTGTACGCACCAATTACATCCACTAACAGCCTCTGCAGGGTACCGGCTATCCATGACCCTAACACCGATATCACTCTATGGGAGTCGGGAGCTATCATCAACTACCTAATGGCGACATATGACAAAGATAACAAACTTCAACCAACCGGCATCAAGGAGAAATTCGAGGCACAGCAATGGCTTTTCTTCCAAGTATCCGGACAAGGTCCTTACTTCGGGCAGTACACCTTGTTCTCGTTTTTCCACCCCGAAAAGATTTCCTCTGCCGTCGACCGTTACGCCAATGAGATCAAACGCGTCACAAAAGTCCTCGATACCGCCTTGGAGGGCAAAGAATATCTCGTCGAAAGCAAGCTTACCTATGCTGATCTTTCATTCGTATCCTGGTATCAAGTTATAACTCAATTCCCAGGATTAAGACTGGAGGATTTCAAAGAAACATGTCCCAACTTTGTCAATTGGATGGGGAAGATGTTTGACAGGCCAGCGATCAAGAAAGTCTTCGAGTTCAAGGCTTCTTTGGCCGCTCCAAAGTGACTTCACAATGAGTGAGAAGTACAAGGGTCAACTCATACCTTCTCAATCAAGTATCTCGCAAATGAAAGGGTGAGATTGAATTTTGGAAGAAGGAACGGAGATTCGGATGAACATCAAGCCGACAAGTTTAGTGAGATCGGCAGTGCTTCTTTTAGAACACGCAAATAGAATGCACAGATCATTGATTCATGATTGAACCACATTCTGGGCGAACTTCGTTCTTTGTCTAATAGATAAGCGTGTGTCATACTATGCGGATGTATATTTCCGATCACAATTACCGCATCGGCGCTTAAGGGAAACAACGGTACTAAATTAGTCTGTGCCTCAGCCCTGCGCTATCACTGTTGTATTAGACCTTCATATGACTTGATACAACGACTGAGTGCCCTGCAATGACTGCAGTTTCTGAGCCGTTCCGTTTAGCCGGCAAATTTAATAGATATATACGCACTAGGGGACGGTGTCGTTGCAGAGTGGCGGGGATAGCCCACCGGGGAAGGCCTGCCCAGAAACGACTTATTTAGTGCTTATGAATGACGACGCCCGCAACTACGCATTACTGCATGCATAAATATTCAGAATACGCCACGAATGTAACATGCGGAGAATATCATATCTCGTAATACGTCGCATATCTTGATGGGTTGATTAGGGGAAGCTTCATTACCAGAACGGTATGATGTTGCAGTACATGCGGCGTACGCAATTATACGTAACACTCCGATGTACCTTCATTCCTTAATTGTTGGCCTTGCAAGAAAAGGGGTTTCAAGGGTGGAAGAGATATGGTGTCATCAAAATTGTAATGTTGTTGGTTATGTGAGGTTCGATGTTGAAGGTGGAAGAGTATGACAAATAACTGAACGAATGAGATAGCAATATACAGTTAGCAACAACTGCTATGTATGACGTTCGAGAAAGCCTCCATTTGTACAGTGAAAAAAAAAGAAATCGGAATGAATTCTACGATCAAACCGTTTTCTTATTTTGGAAGAGGACGTGAATCTCACGTCCTTGGTCCTCGAGAATACCCGAGGTGTAATTTTGAACGCATATGATATTGGCGAGATGATTCAAGATCCTGAAGGACGTAAACAGTAAACTTTCCGAACCTCACGGCCAAATGTAACCACACTTCAATGATAGGAGGAAACCTGTTGAAGTAAAGATGGGTGTGCTGACTGACTATGAACATCGCCGCCGGAAAAACATCAAAGGAAGCTGCCTTATATTTCATGAACCACGACCAAAAGAAAAAGCATCTATACTGCCTGATGTACCAATAATTCAGAGTCTTAAACAATATCAATAACCTTACACTTGTATTCCTGATCGTTGAATACCATCAAGATGCAGCTCCAAAATTTGTATCTTTTGTTGAAGGAGAAAGCAGAAAGCTATCCGGATAAAGGAATCACTTTCTACAGCCTTGGAAAGATCAATACCGCTGGATATGAACTCAAGTATCCAGCGTTGCTCTATCTAGCCAAAGAGAACTCCTACCGTATCCACCAGATGTGCTTGGAGTCAAACACAATCATTCTTCTTCACTTCAATACACATCTGGATAATCTTGTTTGGTTTTGGTCGGTCGTCTGCGTAGGATACATACCTGCATTATCAACCCCTTTCAAGAGCAACGTTGAACAGCGTCAAAAACACATTCTCCATCTTCACTCTGTTTTAGACAAGCCACTGTGCCTTACGAGAAGAACCTTGCTTCCAGAATTCGCCAGTCAGGATGTCCTCAGAATTCAAACGATCGATGATCTTCCACCGGTGCCCAAAGATTTTGATGGCTACAGCATGCGAGGTGGAATTTTCTGCCCTCTTGACCAAGTTACCCTCAAAAAATCGGGATCTTTAGCCCTGCTCATGCTCACCTCCGGGAGCACTGGTAATGCTAAAGCCGTTCGCTTAACTCATGGTCAAATTCTGGCTTCAGTTGAAGGCAAGAGCAAAGCACATTCAACAAGGGGACAGCTTCCGTTTCTCAACTGGATTGCTTTCGATCATGTAGCTTGTGTGAGTGAAAATCACCTCCATGCACTCTGGGTGGGAGCAGCCCAAATCATGGTCCAAGCTGAAGATATTGTACCGAATCCGCTGTCGTTTCTCAGTTTGATTAACAGACATCAAGTTGCTATTTCTTTCGCACCGAACTTCTTCCCAGCTAGTCTGAGGCGGGCATTGGAGAATGTTGATAGACCCACGCTAAGAAATATCATCGACATCTCATGTTTACAGACCATTGTGTCTGGAAGCGAGGCTAATTTGATGGAAACTGCCGTTGCTCTGACGAAGCTTCTGAAAGACTACGGAGCGTCAGATCCAGTGGTAAGTCGTGCCTTCGGCATGACGGAGACATGTGGCGGTTCAGTCTACAGTTGAGAGTGTCCTCGCCATGATGTAAAACATAATCAAGAATTTGCATCTGTGGGATACAGCATTGACAGCATGTATATGAGAATTACGAACACAGACGGTCAAGATATTGGACGAAATATCGTGGGGAATCTGGAAGTTCGTGGTGCCGTAGTTTTCTCGGGATACCACAACGATCCAGAGGCAACCAAGGATTCTTTTAATGGCGACTGATTTATAACAGGCGACTGCGGAATTAATGATGAAAGGGGACGCCTTCTACTCACAGGACGATCGAAAGAAACTGTTGTTATAAACGGTGTGAATTACTTCCCACATGAGATTGAGGCCATGCTTGAAAACATATCGGGAGCTAAACCCAGCTATACAATCCTCTTTCCACATCGATCTCAAGGGTCACAGACTGAAAGCTTATGTGTTCCATATCTACCTACATACAATCCCGAAGATATCGAAGCCATTGTCGAAACGAATGACACGATTCTGAAAACTGTAATGCAACAGACAGGTTTCAGGCCCTAACTACTATACACCTGGTATTAACGTTTTACTTGGTATTAAGCAGTATTTTAGGGCTTTAGGGATATATATATATATATATATATATTTATACATTTTTGAAGTTTATAGAAGATATCTGATTTAATAGAGATTTTACTTTTTGGCTAGCGTACTTCCTTATTAAGTTCTATTTTTATATTTTTACTTCTTATTAACTAATATCTCGCTTAATATTTGAGTTAGCTTATTAAAAATAGTATTATATAAGATAGTGATTTCCGTAACACTTTTTGTTGGTTTGAGAAGGATACGAAAGACGTAGCACCTACGAACTATAGGTCCTAATTGTCTATATTGTATTCTATCTAAAGAGCTAGCTATATATAGGAAGTAGTAGGTCTTATATAGACCTACTGAAAGAGCTAGTCTCTTTCGCTTTCGCTTAGGGCTTATAATTCAGTAGCTAATAAATTGAAGCTATTTACTATATGATTAACGTTTATATACTTTTTTAATTAGAAAACTATTTATTAAAAGAATTATATTTATATTATTTTGTAAATTTCTTATTATTAAATAATCTTTTTCATTTCTAATTAATATATATAAATAATTGTGTATAATTCTTTTATAGTTTTCCTTTTTTTGTAGTTTTTCTTCTTTAAAGTTTCCTATTATTTCATTTAGAAATAGTAGATTTTCTGACTTATTAGATAATTTATATAATAATACTAAATTATATTCTCCTTTTAATATTTATTTAGATCAACTTATAAAATGATTATCTATATAAAAATCATTTAGTTTTCATATATTAAATTATATTAAGAATTCTTTATAAAAAAATTTATGTTTTATTTATTTAATAATGAAATCAATTATATTAGTATTACTTTTATAAATTAAAAGGATTTATTTATTTCTTCTCTTTACATTTCTGGTTTTAGTAAACTTTCCTTATATAATGAAAGTTCTAAAACTTTTTTTTCTTTTTTTTCTCTCTAAGTTTCCGATAGTTAAACCTAAATCTATTCTTGAAAAAATATTAAATTAAAAAAATCAATCAAAAACTATTATATGGAATATAAGGAATAAAAAAATAAGAATTATATACCTTATATACCTTATATAGAATATATATAATTCCTTTTGTTTAATCACTATGAAGATTACAGAAAATGTTAATAGAAAACAAAATTCTTCTATCAAATATTGAAAGTGTTAGATATATTAATATTTATTTTTTCTAATATTTTTAAAATCTTTAATCATCTGTTTAATAGAGTTTTAGGAATTTGATTATATAATACTATTTAAAAGAATAAACTTCTATAAAAGTTTTAATCATTTGTTATATTAAGTTGATATAGGTTTTTAGAAAACAATTCTAAATAAAAAGTTTGTTTATATTGTAATATTGTAATAATAATAAAAAAGGATAGTAAATTTCTTAATCTTGATTTGCTTTTATTATTAATATAGAGTATTTCTTCTTCTATTTTTAAATTATTTCTATTATCTATATATCCTTTTTTAATCAAATAGTTATTATTTCTTTTTATAATTAAAAAATAAAGATTTGTTTTTGTTTTTCTTTAATTTCGAATTGTAAAGTATGTAAAGATTATTATAAAACTTTTTTTAGTATAAAAATAAAATCTCAATTTATTGAAGAATTAATAATTTCGATAGATAATGTGACGACAACAGGTTCAAGGCATGGTAGAAAAGAATCAATTATCGTAACTAGAGAATAACAAACTACTGTACAAAGAATGAACCTGTAAGAGGCTTTTATAGGCCTGGAGGGGACCAGGAGGGGACCAAGAGGGGACCAAAGCGAAGCGAGATTTGCCCTGCCAGGTGGGGCAAATGGATGACTAATCTAGGCCTGAGGCCGGATCGTCACAGATAAGAATAAAAAGATTATATTTAAGATTAAAAATAATAATTATTTGAATAATAAGTATTATATTATTAATAGGTTTATTGAAAAAAAAAGATAATTTAATTTACTATAATTTGAGATTGAGTTTATTACAAAAGAGTAAGTTTTTGAAAATAAATATATTATAATTATTATTAATTTATCAAAAATTGATAAAATTATATTTATTATAATTTATTTGATTTTTTGATTTTTGTACTTATATCTTATGAATTCAATAAAAATATAAAATAATTAAACTTTTATTATAATAAATTTTTATAATAAATAAATAAATAAAATAAAAGCTATTTTTGATATATTCTTAACATAATTATATATTTTATATATTAATGTGTTTTAGCTTAGTAATAACTCTTTTATTTTTATTAATAATTAATCTAATAGTTTATTAATTATTATCAAAGATTATAACTAATCATTTAATTACAAAATTAATTTTTTTAAGGAAATTGTTACAACGGATTAGTAACAGGCTGTAGAATCACCAACTTATAGGCTATAATGGTATTATAGGCCTCAGTAATTCAGCTGCAGTATATCAGGGGACACTAGGTACCTAAGGAAAGCCTTAGATATGTATATAATATTAATTATAGAATACCCTAGAAATCTAGAATATAATTTTTAGGATAATAGATTCTAGGAAAAACAGAATATAATAAACAAAAAGGCTTTACTAGGATTAGTAATGTTTTAGGGAATTAGCTCTAGAATAAAAGAATAAATTAGAATATTAAGAGTTACAGAATTAGTGTTCTATAATAAACAGCTTAGGAATAATAATATTCTAGGAGTAATCAGTTATTCTAATTATTTAAATAAAATAAAGATCTATATAAGGGAATGGGTTTCATTATAATATAAAGCTTTATACTCAAGAATAATTATTAGTTTTATTATTATAGTTATAAGAATTATAATTAGTTATAATCTTATTAAATTCCTATTTGAAGTTTAGTTTAAATTATCTTAAAAGATCTCTAAATACTTTCATATAACCCTAGAGGTAGCTCCCGTAATAGAAATAAAGTATTATTTATATAATTAAATACTTATACTTTTAAATAAATTTCAATAATTTGATTATTTATTTACATTTTATATTTTTATTTATTCTAAGATCATATATACTAAAATGATTATATAAGCTTGATAAGCATAAAAAAAGAAAAAACTACTATATAATTAAACCTAGTACTCCTTTGAAGTATCTATTTATATAATTATAAAACACTCTTTTTATTATTAATATTAATAAGCTTTATTAATCTAATTAAATAACTTTATTACTCGATTTAGATATATAAAGTAGATATAATTCTTATAATTATATCTCAAGTTAATTTGGTTTATTATTATTATATATATTTATTTTCTGATTAAAATAACTAAATAATATAGCTTTTCTCCGTGATAAATAATTATTAGTTTTATATTATAATTATAAGAATTGTAATCAGTTATAATTATATTGAATTCCTACTTAAAGTTCAGTCTAAATCATTTCGAGAGATCTCTAGCTATTTCCACATAACCCTAGAGGCAGCTCCTATACTAAATACCTCGCTTAACCTTTGGGCTGCTCTAATACCGCTGATTATACAGCCGCTAGCCTTTTATTCTCATATGCTTTTGTATAAATTCAACGCTGTTTTCCACACTCCTCGTTGTTCTAATCTTTCTCGAAATTATTCTTTCAACTCTTCATCTTTTTGTCTCTACTCATTATTCCAGGCATCTGTTGGTGCTAATATGCTGCAGCCGCACCTCCCCAGTTTCATTGCCAGTCTCGCAACCCTCAAATTTCCTCTAGAACTTCGGCTGGGCTTTTGATTCGCCTTCAGTTTTAGTCTTTCCTTAATTCTCCATCTGCAAACATGCAGTCGTAGCTTCTTGCTGATCATCGATATTCAATTGAACTCAGCGTTGCCAATATTGCTTGAAATCTAGTTATCAATGTTGTACTATTCATCATTCTTATTATTATTATCTAGTATTCAATCGATTTTGCTTTGTGAGCGCTCTCCCTTGTTTCTATGTATAAAGCTTCAGTATTCCGATATAGCCGATATCCTGGTTATATCAATATAGGATATTCTTGTTAGGCTATCTTCTAAACATCGCTGTCCTAGGAAAGTATTGGGAACTATACTATAGTAAAAGTAAATGACATAGATCTCCAGGATTTTTATGACCACAATAACAGTAGTTCTGTGATTGATATGTTATTACAAGCAAATGATAGCTACAGTACATTGGTTCTGCTTGTACGGGTAATAGCGCTTTTACTCCAGAGGTTTGGATTTTCGTCCACTTTTATCTTTTGGTTTGCTGTTATCATTATCTAACAATTATGTACTCTCGAAAGCTACAGTTTTCTGGATTAAAGGTATAGCAAAATAGATTAATCTAGTGTAATTAGAGTTAGATTGAGTTTCCAACAGAAACACCGAGTCCTTAATCAGCTAATCACCTATATCCAACTGAAATTGGTATTACGAATATAATTCGAAATCTAATCACCAATATTACATTACTTATCGTTTTTATTCTAATTCTTTTATATAAAGTAAATATAATTATAGCTATCATATTTCTGTTTATTTAACATAAAGGATAGCTATATTGTTTAATTATTTTGATTAGGAAATAGGTATACATAATAATAATAATAGTAAATTAAATTGATTTGAGATATGATCATAAGAATTATATCTATCTTATATATTTAAATCAAGCAATAAAATTGCTTAATTAGGTT